TGTCGGCCCTTGATAATCAGCAAGGCACAGGACTTCTGAACGTTGAGTCTGAGTCCTTTTTGTTCAATGACATCCAACAATTGTCCGAAAGCAACCAAGGTTTGCTGCAGTTCTTGCGGAGATCGAAAGGAAGCACCAGCATGGATGTCATCTGCGAAAATCGTGACATGCTCTTGCACCCAGGTATCTGTGATGACCTGGCAAAAGTGCTCGAGTAGGTCATGGGCAAAAAAAGCCCAGAGCAGCGGGGCTGCCTGGCACCCCTGTCTGATTCCAGTGGTGGTTGGTATGTCATCGTTGTAGCCTTTGTGGTGTACATGATATCTAGTGTTTAAGTGCCATTGCTCCATGATGATTCGTAGGCTGTCCTGAATATCAAGTCGGTGAAGACTGTCAAACAGGGTCGGCCGGGGAAGAGAATCAAAGGCTTGGGAGAGGTCGAGACTTATTTGTACACCTCCAAAAATGAGTGGGACAGTTCTGTTCGGAGTTCTGCTTTTTGTGAGGGAGAAATCATGGATCAACTTCCTAACTTGCCGGCAGTGATTGACAACCCTGCTGATGGCGTCGAGTACTCCCCTTTTGGGTAGGTAGGCAAACTGCGGACGTCGGCAAAGTTGGTAGAGGCATTGGTCCCTGGCAGTTTTAGCAACAATCCCAAGTACTGCTTTTCCCAAAGGGTCTTGGAGTGCTAAGGGTCGTAACTGATTTGGGCGTGTCGAGGGTTTTCCTGGTTTTGGCATCAGGAAAAGTGTGGCGTCCCTCCAGGACTGGGGAATATATATGGGGACCTTATTCCACCAGGTATGCAAACTGAGCCACAGTTTCTCAGCTATCAGTGTCGGTTCAACGATCCAGCATGGTGCCGGTGCACTACGGGGTGCAGTGGCTTTGGTGAATGGGATCGAACGAATGGCTTTTGTGAGCGTGTCAACATCAAAAGGAACACCGGGTGGGGGCCGATGTGTGCGAGATACCATGCCAGGTCGTGCGAACATGCTACCAAAGGCAGCAGAATTCCTCATATGGATTCATGAGAAGGCCAGTTTCAGATCTAAGCTGCGTCTTTCTATTCTTGGTCTTAGGTGAAAGAGTGCGAGTCAGTCGATATAGCTTATGACTGTTATGGACATCTGCTGCCTCACGCGCTTGCATCAGCATGGCATCAATTCTGGCTTTTCTCACTTCATGGCAGGCTTTCTTGTGCCGGTGACAGGCCTGACGAAAAGCAGTGATCCGGGCCCATGTCCGGAAAAGAGAACTGAGGTCGGTACGATGTTCTTGCTTGATGAGCTTCAGGAGGTTCCATGTCTCCTGCGTTTTGTGACAGGTCAGTTCCCAAGGTGCAGATCGTGTGGATGGTGTGTCAAAATGCTTCTTGAAGAGATCAAGTGCCTGCGTGTGCATCTGCGTGAGACTGGTGTCATCAGGCAGGTCCGATTGTGCCTCGAGAAGATTGCTCATGTCGAGGTGAAAAGACTGCCATGTCGACGAATCTGCATGGTATGCATCAGTGCATCGAATGCGCTGCATATATGTGGCATTCTTGGGCATGGACATTTGGACTCGGTTCCATCTGTGGTTTATCGATCCCAGGACGGGATGATGTCGACTGCCGGCCAGGGCATTCAAGGGAAACGAATCCAGCGCACAACAACGTTTAGCAATGCTGTCCACCTGCTTGGCCCTAGTGATGATGTAGTCGATTCTGGAGGCGCCTAGCGGGGATTCGAACGTTGGTCCGTGGGATGGATCCCAGGTGTTCAGGGCAACAAGATTATGTGTACGAAGGATCAATTCGAGTTCACTCGCATCTTGATGCATGGGTCCTCGTTTTCTGAGCTTGGGTCCATCACGAAAGTCGGAAAGGCCGACAAGGCCAGGCATGTGACTGAGGCTCGTATTGAGGTCACCTATAGGATGGCCAGGGTATTACGTCTGGGGAGGTTACCAAGACATGTGGTGAGTTGTTGCCAAAAGTCCTTACGAGCCTGTTTGACCGACAGGTCTGTATGATAGGCAAATTGGTAACAAGCAACGATGTCAATGCGATGTCCTTCCATATAGAGCCTCACATGTGTTAGGCGTCCGGCAATGTACGTGTGCCAGGAGATGTGAGTGCTTGGGCAGAGTCGTTTCCTCACCAGGATGGGCAAACCAGCAGGACTTTTCACGTGGGTTCCGACCTGAATGCACGTCCATTCTGGGTCTTGCCATTCATGGTCAGCATGTCGATGAGTCTCCTGAATGCAGGCAACACCAATCGGTTGAAAGTTGAGCCAATGCAGGAGCTCATCTTGCTTCGAAAGTGAGAGCCCATTGCAGTTCCAGGTGAAAAAATTGACTCTGTGTTTATTGTATCTATGGTTAGGCTTGGAGGTGACCACAGGTCGTTGTGGAGGTTGTTTGGTTTGTGGTAGCGGAGGTTGTCCTAATTGGGCTGGGGTGTACATCTGTCCTCGATACCAAGCAAAGCCATGGGCTTGGGCGCGAGTCTGTGCTCTGCGAAGGCTGCGTTTCAGTATCTTTGAGGTGGTCTGTCTATATGGGGGCTGAGCTCCATGAAGTTTTTCCGCATGCTTGGAGTAGGGTCTGGTGAACGATGCTGCGGATTCAGGGACCTGCATGGTCAAGTCCCAACCCTCACCTCCCTGGTGAGGCCACGAAAGGTGTGCAGCTAGCACGGCAAGAAACACCTTATGCATGGGCCTACCAGCCTGGACTTGGGACCAGGGTATGTTCAAGAGAACTGGTACACCTATTCGAAAGTGCCTTGAGCAAAGACGAAAATGTGCAGGCTCGAAATGGCTCTAGGATCTAAAGACCGCGGGCCGGCGAGAGCATGGCATTGATGCTCCCTTGAACATAGGAGGCTTAGCACAACCACAACAACAACACAACCACAACACCACGACTCCGCCACGCTACCCACCCGTGCCACCACCACAATTTCCACCGCAACCACAACGTACAACGACGCCACCACGCTACCCACCAGTGCTACCACCACAATTTCCACCACGACCACAAAGTGGGACTTGTGTCATGCAGTGTCCCCGACTCGTTTCCGACCACCCGGCGCACACGCAGCGCCGGGCGCCAGAGGCTTGGCTGGGTTTTGTCTGTGTGTGGCAAGTGCTGCTGGGAGTGCCGAATTGGAGTTCGGCGGACCCGTAACGGCAACTTGCGCGGAGCGTCGGTGTCGCGTAGCAATTGGTGCTCTGCGGCCAGAACGAAACACTTGCGCCCACCAGTTGCGGGCTGCTTGTTGCCATGAAGTTGACCGATCGAAAGCTCCCTGACAGGTGCATTCACCTGGTCCACTTTCGGTGCACGCACGCGGGTCCCACCGTGTGAGACCAAGGCTCTCTGACAGGTTTACGTTGAAACCCTCTACACTAACGTGTCCGAACGAAAGCTCCCTGACAGGTGCCTGCGACAGGTCGGACAAGACTCGCTGACAAAATCCAAGTTTAGGAAGTGTGGTAACTTTGCAGACAACGCGCCTCTGCTTCCTCCCTTGTGTTTTGTGTTCTATGCGTGCGTGACGCTTGATCGCAACTCCGACCACATTTGTCTCCCGCCTACTTGCCTCCGGCCGTTTGGAGTTGGACCCGCTTGGACTAAGCCCCAACGTACCCATGAGCGAAGCTCCGGGTGGTCCGTCCCTATCGCGGCCAGGCGAACAGTCGACGCTACTTCCTGCCGGGCGTTACAAATACTGAGTTGCTGTCCCATTGCTATTGAAGCTGCTATTGACCTTGCCGACGATTGCACTCGCATGAGCTGCGGCACTGTTTTGCTTCGGTAGGCCCTCGCTAGCGTGCCCGTCAGTCGAACCTCGGGGAAACGACCGTCCGGGGCTTGCTCCAACCACCGTTGCGCGACCATCGTCGTCGTGCCTTGGCATAAGTACTTTTGCACTAAGCGTAGCCGGAACAGAAAGACGTCAAGCTTAGGACCATCAGCTCCCCCTCTAAATCTAGTATATTCAAGGCGAGCCAGCTCACCGAAAAAAATCTGCAACGCGTGTCAACGGTGACCGCGTCACTCATCACCGTTCTGAGACGACCTAGCTCACCTTTCTTTGAACAGGACTCTTTTGTGACCTCAGTCATGTGCTGGTACATGGGCGTTGCCTCGTTCAAGGCGAGCAAGCTCACCGCACAAAATACGACACGCATGTCGACAATGACCTCCTCACTCATATGTCCCGTCGGAGGCGACCAAGCTCACCTATGCTTGGCCTTTTTTCTCTTTTTCCACCGCCCCCACCACCACCATCTCCACTACCACCACCACCACAACAACAACCACAACGACAACCACCACCACAACCCCCACCACCACAACGACCACAACCGCAACCACAACAACCGCAACCACAACCACAACCACCACAACCACAAGAACGCCAACAACAACAACAACAACAACAACACCAACCACAACAACAACACAACCACAACCACAACCACAACCACAACCACAACCACAACAACAACAACAACAACAACCACAACAACAACAACAACCACAGCAACAACAACAACAACAACAACAACCACACCAACCCTTTGCTACAACAACGACTACAACAACAACAACCCTTTGCTTGGGCCCCTGGCCGGCTGTCGGGCGTAAGCCCTTAATTGATGCAAACAAACAGAGCAACTCTTTTCCACAAGTTTTGACACAAGCGACAGTAGCCTTGTTGGTGCTAATCACAAGTGACTATGCGAACCAACCGACCTAGTAGAACTAGTGCGGTGAAAATGATCCAGGATGTCGGTGGACAGCCTGCATATGCTTTGATATTCTAGGATTTTTTTTCAGAATATATGTTCGTTTGTACTTATTGTAGGGAAAAACAAAACACTGTTTCAAGCTCAATCAACAAACACTTGAAAGTCCAATCAATCACAATATGCTCAATTAGGTTTGATCGATTGGTACAACCTAAAGCTTGGAATCTGCATTAGAATAAGCAAGCAAGTTGCCACCCACAGCTGCTGGGATGTGGTCTGCACCCATCACACGGCCCTCGTGCCCGATGAGGACCTGCTTGATTGGAGTGCCCAGGGCTTTCAATTGGAGAAGGTTAGGCTCCTTTATATACCATGTTTTGGTCCAAGTCACTCATCAATGGTACCTTGTAAAGTGTCCAACAAACTCTGACGGTCTTCATGCTCATCAATGCTGATGCTTCCCAACTAGCTTAGTGCAAAGGACTAATGCTACGTATCTGCAAGCGCGCAGAACCCCATGCCATGTCCTCCAATCCCCTATATATATATATACATTAATATATTGTCTATTGTTGTGAAGTCCTAAATTCGAGAAGTAATATCTTGAGGGCTGGTTGGCTTTCAGAAAAAGGGCACCTGAAGTGAAGACTCAAGACTCTCAAGTTTCAAGGATCCTTAAACAAACTTAAACATTATTAGCCATTAGCCAATGACAGCTTAAATATGCTTGAACATGTTTGAACCTGTACAGGACAATGAGCCCCATAGGCTCTACTGTCCACGAATGTCAGCGAACGGTCGACCTGCCTTCACAACCTTCCAGTCAGTTGTGGAGCAAATTTTCACGGTGCCTAAGAGAGATCTGGCGGACATGGACCTCGTTCAAGAACCTGTAGCGACAAAACTCCGGTACCATGCCACCTCGTGTCCTACTGAGCCACTGAGCGAGTAGGAAACCAGGTTGCGGAGCCAGTCCGAAATGGTTGTTGACAGGAATACTGTAAATGTGAAAAAACTCAAATTTTGCGAAGGAGCAATCGATCATACTGCACGCCCAATCATGTATTGTGCGGGTAGTGCCACCACCAGCCATGGTCCCCAAAAGTACAATCTGAAGCCAAGCCACCATCGTAACTTGATGTCAACATTAAGCGTCCTTCACCTTTCTCGAAGCTCACCTGATGCAAACAAAGGCTTTAGAGGTCGAGAATGTGGAAACTACTGCTGCTAACAGGTATGACTGGAGTCCCTAGCAGCGTTTCTCAAGCAGGATGCTACAAATCGTGGGCGCTTGCGGCTTGCACCATCTAGCAAACAAAGTGGCCCTGTAACAATGCTTTCTGTTCCCACGCAAGAGAAATCAAGAGAATTGCAGCTCTGACTTCTACAAGACTGGCGAAGTGTTCGTGCACTCTGTTAACGCGGGCGGCCGCAGCTTACTCACAGCACCTTCCCCATTGCCCCTGTGTGTCACAATGTGTAGCAGTATAGCTGCTCTGTGAAAAGGAATCTTCGAGACTGACGGCAATAGCCTCAGAGATGAGCTTGTTGTGGAGCAAAAGGTTGTGCGTACACCTCCCATGATTGATGTCTCATGCAAGCTGGGCCGGGCGTAAGCCGAGCCAATTTTTGAAAATGCAAGCGCATTTCGTACGAAAGTGGGACAAACTCAAAAGAAAACATTGCATCTTTTACGGGACAATCATGGACAATCTCTCGTTGGCCTTCGCTTGCGAAGGTCCCAAATGCGGACGCTGTGGTCATCGCTGGCTGTGGCAAGGACAGTCCCCCGTGGGTGAAAGTCGACAGCCATGACCTTGCCAGGACGGATGTGCTTTGCGCATACAGTCAAGCTTGCAATCTATCATCCTGCTTGTGGCCAATTCAGCTGAAATGCATTGAAATACTCTAGACTCTTGACAGTAGCTTGTGAATGAATCTATGACAAAGGGCGAGGGCAACAGGAGAAACAATAGAAAAGTATACTTTCTGACTGATGTTATGGTACTGAACTGCAACCGCGACAACAACAAATGCTGCACGGGAGAAAATAGCAACCCATGTCAGAACATATATCATGTAATAATCTTTTTGAACGGACCTGCATCCACTTCTGCTTGTAGATGTGCGGCCAATGTGTGTCTATGTCTTGCCGACAAACACCAACAGCAAAAACATCCCTTTGGTTGTTGGCGCATCAAACGTGTGTCATGGTTTCCCTCATTCAAAAATGAAGCTATGGCACCCAAAAAAACCGCAGGAGAAACAGCAGCACTCCCAATTACATGTTGAGGCTGCCCGTTGGATTTCCACCCCCTTGACGGCTTGACTCCTTGACCGAATGAGTCCCGGGGATGCTTGCAACTTGCACCGAATCATTCTCTGCCTGCTTCCCGTGGGCTGCCAGAGGCATCACAGTCTTGCCGCTGCGGAGGTCCCACACCTCACTTGTGGTGTCTACATGCGTCCACCGCGGTTCCGCTTCATCAGTTTCCGGGTGTCTCCAGTTCGGCTTGTGGCTTACGCAACTCATAGCGGTTCCATGTTTCTGTGACGGGCTTGCTAAGTCCCGAATCCCAACATTGCTTGCGCACCATTTAACTGCTGAGACCCCCTGCCCGCACGACGCCGCCCAAGTCAGAAGTGGCTACCAATGAGCCGTCGGGGTGCACCGAAACCCCATAGACAGGCCTTGAGTGGCCTTCCTGCAGGGTCAAACGGCAAATGTTGAATTTACTTGGAATCCATTGAATCATGTGTGCAACGCACAACGCACACACTCGGGATAGGTAAAAGAAACCCTAGTTAAAAGAAAGCCTAAGTAACACCAGGGATATGCAAGGTGGTCCAATCATCATGAAGCCTTCAATGTTAACTTCCAAAGCTTCAAAGGATCTGGAAACCAAAGCCGAAAGGTCAAGCGTCGCGAAGTGCGTTAGCCCTTTACCGCAGCACGACCTCTTCAACCTGAAACCTCCAAGACTCCGGAAGTGGAGCATGATTACAAACACCACACACTGAATTGCAAGGAGGTCTGGTTGATCAGGCCAGATATCAGCGTGGAACTTGACCCTCTTCGTTGGATCACCAGTAAAGTCCGTGGGTGATTCCCTGCTGAAAAGAAAAAGAAAAGCCTAAAGGCTCCCTCTCTCTGGATCCAAGGGTTACACACACACACACACACTCGGAGTAAGATCCCAAAGTCCCAAATTCCCAAATGCTTTCTCCTGATCAGGCGACAGCCTGAATATTGCACCATATCGTTGATGTTTTTTCTTCTTTGTGCTACAGGACTTTCTCTTTTGTTATCCTGTTATACTGTTGTTTTTATTTCGAAGAGCTGGACCCCACCTCACCAGTAGGTCTCACAAACCTAGAGATGCTTGTTCACTTGTCCATGCTCAACTTGTAGGTTGTCATGTGCCGTCCTGCAGCAAAAGCTCCGTGGTAGTGTTCACATCCCAAAGCCGCCAACTCATGTCCTTAAGATTGTGCCAAGGACCACCCAGCCGAGCTATTGATGATGTCTTCAGGCTGCCATTAAGTTCTTCGTCCAGTCATTCCATGATTTCAAGATATCTGGTCCATCTGGTAAGCCACAGACTCCATAGATAAATAATATGCCAAGCATGAACGTAGCTCATGTTGGTCTTTGCCAAAATCAATGTGACAAGGATATTCGGCGATGTAGCTTGCCTAATACCTGACTGAGTAAGGCTGAGATTGTTTAGTATATGGCCTCCACAGTATCCCATCACTTTAATTTACTGTATATATAATATATATATATGTTACATTGGGAATATGTTTCTACAAGTCGTACACATGTACTACATGATTACACATGACATGACCTATGACTATGAGCTGGCTTGATCATCATGGAAAATCAAGCCTAACCCAGTGCAGGTCTAGCTGTGACACGGCTGCAAGAACAGAAACGCGGTGCACCAAGCCGGATGGCTGCTTCGTCAAGAGCCCTTCCAGCGCCAAGCTGCATGAGATGTGGAGATCAAGTGCTCACCCATGGGATGAAACCTCAGTACTTCAGGAAAATCATTTCAAGGTCGGCTCTGAAAGGCGCAGAGATGGCCGCACGAAGTCGGCGAAAGGTTTCCAATCACTCAAACCCAGCTGTCTCATCTTCTCAAATCATCCGTACTTATAGATGTCAGAAGGGCATCGGAATTTGGCAGCATGTGACACGAGCCTCCTAGAAATCACTAAAGTAGTCAAACACATTGTAGACTCTACAAAAGGCTTATCATTTTCCAGAAGGAAACTGTCAAGAAACAAAAACACTACTGATACCCCATCATCCACACTCTCCACTCCCCAAAAAAGGTCGGTCGTGGACCAGCTTAGGGATGCGCGCAATTCTGTTGACGCGGTCCTGGGGCCACAAAAGCTGTACGGGGTGTGACTCACCGGGCCAGAATGTTACTCAGGAGTTATTCTCAATGATCCCTTCAGTGTCAACATGAAGTCAGCATATCGGTGTGATTCTGTTTCAACTCATCCTCAAAGTTCCTGCAACACAACTTGCAATCGTTTTGGGAACCTCTGCAGTCTCTGGAAGTATGACATATGGGTTTTACGTTGAGGGACCTCCATCTCCCACTGCCTTGTGAAATGTGGTCTGTACCCTGTTGTCTTTCTAAGTCCTTACGGTAGGTAGTAGGTAGCTTTGGGCTTTTGTTTAGAGCCTAAACTGTCCAAACACTTGAATAGGTAACCCCAACTTGCGTTGGAACAGTTTAACTTTACCCAACTGAGGTCAAAATATTTTCAGCCACTTTCATGTCTCTGTAATAGCACCTCGTGACCCTCCAGCACATTCACGGGCTGGCTGTCTGAGAGTGACCAGAGGTTGATCCTGGACAGGCTGGGCGGTATTGTAACACATTCAATTTGATGCCTTCGTGCTCAAAAGACTCGCTATCCTCGTGCCAACTCGACTTTCAGCATGGACTCCGAAGGAATATCTTGATGTGAACCGAAATTGTGTGCGTGTGTCAAACCCTGTTTCTAAGGGCTGTTCATGTGCAGGGGTCAATTCCTCTCACCCGTGGTGGGTGGCCACCGAAGAGGCCACTGGTGAGGGGTGTAAACGCACCTGCACAAACACACCGACTCCAATGGTTCTCCCTTCGCGGTTTTGTTGTTTCATGGTGGTTTTCATGCTATTCCCCTAAACCTCCCCCCGCAGAGTTGGTGCTGAGCCGCTTGTTAAACAATTGTTAAACATTCCAAGTGCGCTGACTCCTTCACCGTTCCCGCGTCCTTTTCACTGTGGACTATGATACTGGATGAACCTGTGACCAAGTGTGTATCGCTGTGCTTTCCCACTTGGGTGCGCAGTGTGATCCCCGCAAGGGGCGCCGAAACCACCGTGTATCACAAATTGACGTTGCGTTTTTGAGGTCTGGGATTCTGATATGATATTGGATTGAATTTTTCACCCATGAATCAACTGAACCATATACCGCTGGGCTCACGGAATAAATGCCGCCGGGCTTACGGAGAATTTCCCCACCCCCCCCCGTTTGTTGGCGTTTCTTCAGGCTTGTTAGGTTGTTCTTGAGGCTTGTTTCCCTGCCCCTCGTCTTCGCTCGACTTCTAATTCTAATTCGGGTAACAGAAAGAAATTGTACTCGACACACTTGTGTGTTGGTGCTTTTCCTTCTGTTGTCCTTGTTTAAGACTACAGCCCCGCCCCCTAACTATTGCATGTAATTAAAGACTGCTAAGTGTTCAGCAACTAGCGACTTCTAATCAGGGCGTGTCGAGTACCATTTCCTTCTGCTGTCCCTTTTCTAGTCTACTCTACCCGGGCAGTTTAAGACTAAAGTCCCGCTCCCTAACTATTGCACGTAATTAAAGACTGCTAAGTATTCAGTAACTAGCGACTTCTAATCAGGGTGTGTCGAGTACCATTTCCTTCTGCTGTCCCTTTTCTAGTCTACCCTACCCGGGCAGTTTAGGACTAAAGTCCCGCTCCCTAACCGTTGCATCCCCGTTGAAATTCTAAGGGGTAGCCCAATTTCATACTATAGATCGACGCGCCCCATGTGGGGGTCTCTATAAAATCATGCCCCCCAACTCATGCACACGCTATAGAATCAAAGCCCCTATGTCGTGAAGTGAAAGCTCACGGAAATTATATATGAAGGATTCGACACTAAAGAATCACAACCCCCGTCTCACAGACCGAATCATTAAAATACTATATGCTCAAAAGACTCTGATTCTATAGTATTTTCCGATGTGTTTTCGATGAATGTTTCCGACAACATCCGGCAACGTCTTTCCATTTTTATCGAATCCTGATCACTATAGAATCGTCTTTCCATCTTTCAGGTTGCTCCGCTATAGAATCACGATCACTCAATGACCATCAACATGTCTGTCACTAAAAAATCAAAGTCCCCATGTCACCAGTACAAAGCTCACGGAAACATAATATACAGTATCTCCGGGTTCTATTACTTTAGAATCACAACCCCCAGGTCAACTAGGTCAAATTGCACCCTTGTCGGAAATTTCCCGTGGTATCCCGTGGTCTCCTTTTAGAATGGAGGAGCCTGAGTGATTCAATTCTATAGTGCTATAAAATGGTTGCCGGGGAGTACCCAGGTGGCATGATTCCATATAGGAAATTTCAAAGGGGATGCTATTGCACGTGTATTCAGTAACTACTATACTAGTTTGACCTTTTTAACTACACCTACCTTTCTCTCTTGCCCTCTTCGTTTTCTCTTTCTGTCTTTCTTTCCTTTCTAAGGCTTGTTAGGTGGCCATTCAGGTTTTAACTCGGTTATTTGCCGTTCGTTCGGCAGACATGCATGACCCTATACACCTATCCTTCTTTCTTGCCCTTTTCCTTTTGCTTTTCTTTTCCTTTTCCGTTCTTTTTCTAAGGCTTGTTAAGTAGCTATTCAGGTTTCCGCCGGCGTGCGCACCGCCGGTGCGAGGGAGCGCCGCGAAGCGGCCACATGTGTGTGTCAAACCCTGTTTCTAAGGGCTGTTCATGTGCAGGGGGCCATCCCTCTCACCAGTGGTGGGTGGCCACCGAAGAGGCCACTGGTGAGGGGTGTAAACACACCTGCACAAACACACCGACTCCAATGGTTCTCCCTTCGCGGTTTTGTTGTTTCATGGTGGTTTTCACGCTATTCCCCTAAACCTCCCCCCGCAGAGTTGGTGCTGAGCCGCTTGTTAAACAATTGTTAAACTTTCCAAGTGCGCTGACTCCTTCACCGTGCCTGCGTCCCTTTCACTGTGGACTATGATACTGGATGAACCTGTGACTAAGTGTGACCATTGAACACCGCAGCATGTAGCAAGCCAGAAACTGCAAGTTCTTGATGCAGTAGACAAAAGGGAGACTCTATTGATTTAACCTTTAGGAGACAGGGAAGGTATAGTATAAAATGAATTCACAGTCCCCCACAAATATGTTCCCAATCTTTCAGCACACTTTGTACTTGCAAACATTTCTTGCTAAAATTTGACAATTCGTATCGACGAACACCTGGACCTTGGAAATTGCCCGGCGCAAAATTTGTTTAAAGAGGTGAACATCGTATTGCTGCAACTGAATAACAACCAAATGGTTTTTGACTGGATGCAGTGTGAAGGACGAGAGTGAGAGCACATCATCTGCAATGGGCGGCAAAATCGTCCTGGAGTCTGCAGAGGCGGAGGCAAGCCTCACTGTGTTGCCTGAGTGTAACGCTTGAGCCTGACTAGGGACTTGTACTCTGCGCACTCTCCACTGTAGGTGGGGAAGATTAGACGACATTTTCTTTATATATATATATGTATGTGCACCCCCCAGCTCATAATTCTTGGCAGGTGTCTGACCCCTGAAGTAGAGTCCCGTGCTGGGAAAGGGCTTACAAGAAACGGGGGAAAGCTCTTACAAGAAACGGACAAAACCTCTTACAAGATCATCAAATGACAGCACTAGAGTACAAAAAGTAACTTCTGAATTATATATATACTGTGAAAATGGCAGCACCAACAAGGAACCGAAAAGAACGAAGTGACGCGTCTTTTCTATCCGAAGTGCCTTCATGCTTGAGCCATCCGGTGTGGCAGCATCAGAACGGAGTCGGGGATGATCGAATGCCCTTGCTGGAACAAACCTCGTTTTCGCACCGGTCTTTTTCTTTTGGGCTGAGATCATCCTTGCCTCCGATCAGTGCTTTTCCTTGGGAGCTAAGATCGTAAGGATCTCCTTGCATCACCTGATCCAACCCTCCAGGCTTCATTGCCTTCGTGAGGCAATCTGCAGGCATCAAGGACGTCGCCGTCCAGTGCAAACAAGTCGTCCGGTCAGGCGGAAGGTGGTCGGTGAGCAAAGGGTCACCTAACAGCTCGCCAGGCTTTCGCCAAATCAGCTGCCTTGCTGAACTCAAATCAATGGCCAATCTCTTATCCTGGACAGTGTGAAGTCCAGGTTGTCCAACATGCTCGAACAGCGAGTGGCAGTCGGTGTACAAATTCACCTTGAAAGCATCTTGTGCCTGGATCTGCCACTTCTGAAGATCACGATCATGATCACACCACAAGCCGTGCAGGACAAATCGGAGGTGTTCACATTCCTCCATACCCGAGATCATGGACATCGTCTCGGCCTGAAGAGTTGACCTGCAAACACGGCGGATGCATGTTGAATGCCAGTCCAACAAAAGCAAATTGCCCTGGTGCACATGCTGGAAGGACTCATGGGCCAAGCAAACCAACCGTCCGCTCTGACTGCGAAGTCCGAGCCTCTTGCCAGAGCCGCTGGTGTCAGCATCATTTGCAAAAGATGCGTCTTGAATGCCCACGATCATACATTCTTCGAACTTGAAGGGCTTCAAGGGGTAGCTGATCCCTTTGTGCTTTGAGCTTCGGGCAACTTTAACGATGTTGTTGGCAAAGATCACATCAGCAAAGGTGGCCTGTGAGACATTGGCCTGAAGAAAGCTCACGGAGTAGGAGAGGTCAGGTCGGCACACTCTTGCTAACCAAGCCAGGCTGCCAATGATGCTCCTCAATTGCTCTTTCACCACATCAGGAACACGAGCATCTTTGTTCTTCTTTTGGTCAGCCGTCAGGTACACCGGCTTCACGCGGTCCACCAGGCTAGGGCAGGTCACGTGCACGCCCTTCTCATCCTTCTTGACCTCTCTGCCGCAATAGCGGAACTCATTCTTCGAAAGCTTGCCGAACCTATACTTCTGGCAGATGGCATTCATGCGCTCTTCGATCAACGGTCCTCCAGTCCACAGCAAATCATCGACGTGGACCACAACCAATCCTGCCAGTTCTTCTTCAGGAGTCCGCAAGCTGTATGCCGCTGCTTCATGGGGCACTGGAGTGAAGCCTTGCTCCAAAAGAGATCCATGGAGGTTCTTGTACCATCCCCTGGGTGCATCTTTGGTGCCATAGACGGTGGACGACACCATATAGTATCTTCCTTCTGGTTCTCCAGGGATTCCTCCACGCGGCATGGACAACACCAAAGTGCGATCCAACTTGGATCCCTGCAAGAAAGCCGCTGAAATGTCCCCAGTCCAGAGATCTGTGTCTCTGCAAGCAGCGAGCACCAAGCTGAGTGACATCATTGTCATTGAGCATGTAGGGCTGTCCGTCCTCATCTTCGAAGCATCTTCCAAATCACCACGGACAACGAGTCTGCTCTTGAGGATGTCTTCTTCGGTCGGCTCAGCCTTGTTGACATCGACCCAACGGGTCGGAATCACTCGCAAGCCAGGGATGTCCTTCTTCAACTCCCGCAACTGGTCTTCTGAAAGCCACTTGCCATCGGTGTACTTCGTCCAGTTGCTCCACTCCTTCTTGCGAGTTTCAATCAACTTGGCTTGCATCTCCTTGCTCTCCTTCTCAAACTGAAGTTCACGGCCAGCTCCAGTCTTCTTCGTCCTTTGGACTTTCTTCTTGACCTTGTGCTGCTGGCGGCTCATCAAAAAGGCGATCGACGGCATGGGACGAAGGCTTTCTTCCCAAGCAAAACTTGCTGCATTGCCAGGAGGGCGGTAGCTGCCGTCAAGGATGTCTGGATTCCGGCGGAGAGCTTGAGTCAGTGGGGTTTCTGTCACATTCTCCTCCTCGGGGCCAGGTGTCACTTGTGGGCTATGCTCCGTCTCAGGCTGAAATGGAAGGCTGCTCATACTGCTCGTGCCTGAAGGTGCCAGTTGTAGTCCCGGCGGAGGTGAGGGCTCACTCGACGGTTCAACAGCGGGCGTCTCCTCATCAAGTGGTACCTCCATGCTCACTTCAGGTGAGTCATCGTGCGCCAAGGATTCTGGGCTAGCAGCCACGCCAGAATCGGTGGTCTCTGCAGTAGGTGGAGCGGTCTGCAAAGGCGCTCCAACATGACCATGATCTTGCATGTCAATGAACGGTGCTTGATGTTCCGTTCTTTGCCTGAGAGCTCTGGCTTCTTGACCATCATCACCAAAAGGAACATGTACTTCATCTTCGGGATGAATGGCATAGAGTTCTCTCTTGCGCTTCCTTGCTGGGCGAAGTTCCAAGACATGCTTTCTCATGATCTCTTGAGTCGATGCTGGCCGGCAGGAAGTTTCGGCGATCAAAATGGTCACGCCTCCATGCACCAACCACAACGAGGATTTTCCCTCTGTCGTCAGAACTCTGGCCGGTCCATACCATTTGCCATGCTTCGAGAAGCAAACAAGGTCACCAGTGCGGTAAGGACCACGAATCGGCACGGCCTTTCTCAACAGAGCTTTCCGGATGCGCTGCGAAGCATCAACTTGCATAAACATCTCTTTTGCAGTTTGTCTCATCAGCAGCTGCATCATGAATTGCTCTTGGGGCGTCTTCTCCTCAGCATCGACCAGGCCTTGATGCACACCAAGGTTGTTCTCAGGGTCCTGCGAAGCCAGACTGGAAAGATCTTCTGGTGTGTGTCCCAACACCCATTGTGCAGGAGAGAATCCTTGGTTGTTGATCAAGACGTTCTTGGCTCTGGCACACTCTGAGCAAAGTGCTGCAATGACAGAAGCACCAAACAATTGACGGTCGTGCGCAGCTCTCTTCAACATCTCCTTCAGCAGTCCTCCATGACGTTCTGCTGTGCCGAGCTGGTGTGGTGCTCTGGTGCCAGTTCTCCTCAGTTCTGTTCCTTGGGACTGAAGCAAAGCAGCGACTCGTCCACGGTTGTGAACTCCTTGATCACTGGTGAACGCACGCGGTGCGCCTGCCCAAGACAACCAACTGGAATTGATGGCCTCTGCGCAAATCTTCGAAGGTGGTGTTCCACCAGGTGCTACACGAACTGCCACATGGTAGTGAGTGGCCATGTCAACCAAACTCAAAATGCTGTGGCGAGCACCCTTGACATCCACAATCTCGAAAACGTCAGCTGCCAACTCATCGTTGAACTTGATTTGGTGGCAAGGGTTCACAGGTCGAACTGACCTTGGGCGTTCATCACTCTTCATCTCATCACAACTTTGGCACCTGAAGTGTTGCGCTGCTTCGATCACCTCCTTCTCGCACATCGAAAGTCGAAGCATCCTCACCAGTGCTTGATTGCTGCAGTGTCCCATCATCTGGTGCAAGCGACGAACTGCAATGCGCTGCTCTCGGCTAATCTTCAGCCACTTCTGTTTCCTGATCTTCTCCTTGTCATGTAGGAGTTCTTCCACCGAGCTATCATTGTTCTGCTCATAGTCTTCCTCGGTGTCCAAGGCATTCAAATCAACTCGCCTTCTCTTGTGGACTTGCTCAGCAATGTCGTCCACATCCTCAATGCCATCCAGGTAGTCCGTGCCCTCGTTGGCCTCAATCTCATACTCGGCAGGAAAAGCATTCTGGATGACTTGCGACTTCATCTCTTCTAAAGCTCCTTGAACGATGGCCTGGCACAAAGGTTTTGGCCACTGCTCTGCTTTCTTCGTCTTGTTGCCTTCAAGATGTTCGTGCCAGTGACTGCCATCGCAAAGTGTGCTGAGCTTTTGCTTCATCTTTGCCGAAGACATCAGCATTCCTGTGGCCTTTTGTTGTGGAATGCCGCTCTCACCAACCAAGCCATACATGCACTGATCCAAGCGAAGCAACTCAAGAGGTTCTCCAGTGACTTGATTCCGGAGTTGCTTGTCCATCATGTCCGAAAAGCATTTGAGCTCCCAGATCAAGGATGGCCATGGATTCTCCATCAAAACTTCTCTTCCAAGCTCTAGACGTCGCTCCACGACTTTGGCCAACCAAGAAACCACTGGGTACCACTCATTGCGGTTGGACATGATCTTCTCATAGAGCTCGTCGCTCTTACTGGCATTGAGTCTTTGCCATGGCGACCAGGGAGCGCATAGCGGTGAGAGGGTCAGCAAGTAGGGGTCTTCATCTTCAATCTCTTGCCACAAACGATCCCGGTTGCAACGCTTGAGCAAATCATACCTGCTGTCAATCTCCACATCCACAGGTGCACTGATGCTGAGGCCCATAGTCACTGCTAAGAGACTCAAGGTTGCAGCTCCAGCGAACAGCTCCTTCAAGAAACACTTGCAACCTTTTGGCAGCATCTTCTTCGGCCTCTTGTCTTCGCCTTGCAAGGTGCTCCACAAGGCACAATCTTCCTTCTCCATATCATCGAGGGACTCTTCGATCATCTTCCTCTGGCCACGGCTCATAGTCTTGGCACGAAGTTCGTGTAGAGGTACATGACATTCTCCAAGCATAGTGCCATTCGACTCAGTCTCATTGGATTCGTCCTCCGTGGTCTCATTGCCCTCATCAGTGACATTTCCTTCAGATGTCACATTGTCGCTCATGCCGTAGGTCTCCTCGAGAACCTGCTCCTCCTCAGACTTGTAGTCTTCAGCGACCGACATGGCGATCCCTTTCACTGTCTCATCGCCTGGATGTAGCTTCAGGGCAGGCAGTCCATTCAAACTCACGACTTCAATCTCCTTGTCCAGGTCTTGCTATAGGCAGTGTACTCGGACATGTCAAGCACAAAACCAAGGGACTTTTGTGCAGTCGAGCTCAAAAGCAACGGGGTGTCCGAGTTCTCCAGCTCAATGGACGTGATGTTGCCTGGCACCAATTCCTCATCCAGGGTCTTCAAACAGACAGGGATGTTTCGCTTGCCAGCCACTTCAACTCTGCCGCCGACTCCTTTGAAGCGTCCTTCGGCGGGAAGCAATTCCGGCTGCATGCCCATGTAGTTGATGAACTTCTCCATCCATCGGGAACCATGGCATGTGTTGTTGCAGCCAGTATCGAGGATCACGTAGAGCTCCTCAAGGCTGTCCTCTTGCTCTTGCACCATGTAGGCGCTGCCCTCTTGTTCTTCTTTCTGTCGGGCGATGCAGTACCTGGCAAATGCACACAAGCACGGATCTTTGAGATTGCCATTCTGGTACTTGGAGACAGTGCCCTTGACATAGCTCTTCTCGTAGGCATAGATCGTCTTGAAGTTCTTGCCTTTGTGCACTCCTGACTTGAAGTCATAGCGATGCATCTCGAAGATGTCCACCTTTTCATCATCTTTGGGCTTGTCTCTGGGTGCTGGACTGAAGCGCTCAGGGCTCGCTGGCTGGCTTTGGCCTCCTGTGGCCATGTTCCGGCACTTGTCATAGATCTTGTCGACGGTCTCCAAAGTGAGCTCACCTCCAAGCTCCTTTTGTAGGTTGACCGAGATGGTGAAGAGCTCCACAACCTTGTCAACTGCAGTGGATGCCAAAGCAGTACCTGCCGATGACGAAGCTCCTCGTTCAAGACCTTTCCACTCAACACGGCTGCCCTTCTCCATGTGGCCGCATGACTTGCATTTCCACTGCCATGTGGTTCCAGCGCTGCCTCGCCAGTCTTTGTCATCGTGCCCACAAGCTCCAGTCGTCTTCTTGTCAGTCTCCATCTTCTGGGGCTTCTCCTCCTTCTTATACTCCAGCAACTTCTCACAATCCTTGCACTTGAGGATCTTCACATACATGTTGGAGCCTTGACGTGTGGTGTTCTTGTGTTCACACCACTTGGGAGACTCAGGCTGACTCCCATGTGAAGATGCCATAGCGCTCTTTGAACTTGAAGCGACCGGAACTGGTAGTCGAGGTAGTCCAAGTTGAGCTTTCCACTTCCAATGCTTCAAGCGCTCGAGATCCTGGATGTTGAAGAACGGATGTCCAGGGTAGAACTCATTCCAGCGCTCATCATAGGCATCTCGCCACTCAGGGTTCATTGGGTCATTGACCGCTGCCATGAAGTTCTCCAGGTGTGCTTTTCGCTCATCAGATTGAAGAACTGTGAAGTCCTCTCCAACTGAGTGACCTGGAGGTCGCCACCCTGAGGGAAGTCCGTCCGGCAGAGATGGAGTGAGCGTCTGAGTCTGCTGACGGATCTTGGCCTCAAGGATGAGGCGGTCCAACTGCTCATCTGCAGTCTCTGGCCGATCTTGTAGTGCATGTAGCTCAGCTTTCATGACCATGTTGGCTTCAAAATCATGGCTTTCCTCCTCCTTGATCGGCGCCTGGTACTCATTCACAGTGAAATAGACAGTCCTGGGCTTGTCAGACTTGCCGCCTTTGCCTCCTTTGTTCGACTTGGGTGAACTCGCCGATGTCGAGCCAGACGATGAAGGTGAACCACCGCCTTTGCTCTTGCCCTTGGAGGTCTTGTAGGACTTGGGGCATTGCGGATCATTCGCCCAGTGACCATGCTGTCCACACTTTCTGCACTGTGTTCGAGCCTTCAAGGCCTGTACGCGGGCCTTCCGCTCTTCCATGGTGAGGTGTCCATGTACTTGAAATTGTCGAGAACCTCCTCCAAAGCCCTTGTGGCCGGTTTGGCCTGCTCGCTCACGGATGTAGTAGGCCTCTGCTTCGGCCTGAATGAGCTCAGCCGCATACTCCATGGCCTCATTGTCATACTCATCCAGTCCATCTTCAACCAAACTCATGTAGACCTGCTGGATGGTGTCATCTTCGTCGAAGGTGTAGGCCTGGTTCTCATCGACATAGCTCTCCACATCCTCATAGCCGCTCAGCGACTGGGAGTGACTATCCCAGTCTTCACAGTCATGGTACTCTTCATTCGGGACGGCGTGGTATGCTCGATGCCAAGAAGAACGATGCTTGTCCTTGCCGTACCCTTTGCCAGAGTATCCTTTGCTGTAGCGACCATAGCTTCCTTTTCCACGACGGGCCTCAATCTCGTGGATCCTGCTGTGCTGAGCCACCAGCTCTTCACAAATTCGAGCCATCGTGATCTCTCCGTGGACTGCTGCTCGAATCAACAGCTGATGATCATGGCTGATCCCAGCATTCTGCAATGTCTGCTCGGCCAAAATGGCCTCCGGAAGCTGCAGGGTGGAGTCCATGTCCAGCATGAGGTTGTACCATGCTTTCCTCCTCAAGACATAGCTTGGAATCGATTCTCCAAGCTGGCGTGCAAGCACGCCTCCCTGCTGCGCTCCGACCTGATACAGGTCTCTCGCTTCTTGCTTTGACCGTGGTTGCAGGGAGCTCTGGAGTGCCTTGAGCAGGTTGTTGGGGCCGTCTTCGGAGATGAGCTTGTCGACTTGGATGGCACGGGCAACTTGCAAAGCAGGGCCTCGAAGGCCATCAACAAGTCTCAGGGCTAATGGCCCTTGTTTCTTCAATTCGGCTTCATCCATCATCTTCTCACGAGCTTGTCGAAGCCGAACACGAAATTGGTACTCAGCCAATTTGCTCACCTCTCCATCGAATCTCGGCACCCCATTCTTGGCCTCAGTCGACCAGGTGTCTTCCTGCGCCGCTGCAAAGCTTTGCCATCTAAGGCAATCCACAATCGACATTGCTCGCGCGATCGTGGCAAGGTGAAAAAAACGTGAAGGGTCACCGTCACCTAAGGGTCTCCCGTGGGGGCCTGGGCTCAACCAACAAGATTCCCTGGAGTCGAAAACGCTCCGCTGCCAATGTGAAAATGGCAGCACCAACAAGGAACCGAAAAGAACGAAGTGACGCGTCTTTTCTATCCGAAGTGCCTTCATGCTTGAGCCATCCGGTGTGGCAGCATCAGAACGGAGTCGGGGATGATCGAATGCCCTTGCTGGAACAAACCTCGTTTTCGCAATACATAGCGACCAATTCATAGAAACCTATTTCTAGGCGTTTGATCTATCTTAAGCACAATTATTTTGACAACATTTCACCTTTTGAACGACAGTTAGTTTGACCACCTACCACCTATATTACTTGAGATTTAGGGGTCTCTACCTCGTTCTTGAAATAGACATCTAAAAACTATTTCTGAAATGATTCTAGACAATTATCTGGAGACGTCACACCCACCACAATAAATGTATACACAATATTGGGATGTCCTTTTGCACATTCCAAAATTGACACGAGAGGTGGTACAAAGTGGGTCTGACACGACTTGCGACAAATGTGACAGATGGAAACGGCCATGGACCATATCCCTTGCTCCGTTTTGAAAGTCTTTACGCGTCAGGACTCAATGGCCATGTGGAAGTAGCCCCAAAACATGAAAACACACACCACCAGATAATGATCTTTTGATAAAAGTGAATGCAACGTGTTGAAAGTCAGGCTCTGACACAACATAAATATAATTGGTCCTGCCTTCTAGACACCAAACGATCTACTCACTCGAAGACTCGGAGAATGGATAAACGGTTCTACGAGTCGCCTGAGTCAGTCGTTTGATCCTGCTCGCAGGTGCTTTGGCAAAGGGTGCCCCTTACGGGTGCCAATACGACATATGATCAAACAACTCTTGTACACAAAAAAAACATCCTTTTGAATTCAACAGTCTCTTTGGGGGTCATAATAAACCGGACTTTCTCATGTAAAGTCATGCACTTCTGAACTATTGCAATAATAGACCGAACTTTCTCATGTGTAATAATAAACCTCGTTTATCCTCTTTTCAGATTGCATTTAATAGTTAGTTTTTGAGTTACTCTTTAATTTCGATCAACGTAAAACAATAATCAAAGCTGTCATAATCCTAGGGTTTGAGGTTTATTATTTTGAGTAGTCTATTATTACGATTCTTTTTGCAAGTAAAACTTCACTAGGTGAGGTTAATCATTGCGATGTGAACATGAAGGCTCTAGTAAGGTATAAAAAACACGTTTACAGCATTGTGCAACTCCGCATCTTGAAGAAACGATTAAAGCGCATGAATCAGCTCTGGTCTGTTTGCCTTTGAGATCCTTTGAGGAACTTTTCTCAGCCCCCCGCCCTCAAAAGGAGGTGTACCTTTGCACTGTGGGTGCCACGCAATGCTGTTGCACCTGGCACACCCAAGCTCTGTGCTTGACAGCATGATTGGGAGTTCACATGAATCTACTGTACTCCTGGTCTAGCCTCCCACATAATACCCGTATCCGTATCAATGATCTGCCCCCGCAAGCGCTGCTGTGATTCTCATCACACACCCTAACTAACATCCACTTCAAACCCGCCATACACACATGACATCTCGGTCTCTCAATCTGGAAGCGCAAAACCAAGGCGTTGATTACTTGAGACCACCTCACCCGACGCCTGTCTTCATGTCCACGAATGGTCAGCACCGGATCGCAGGACGGGGTCTTCCACAACTTGACGAATCCAGACCTCATTCAACTGTTGAACTGCCTGATAGTATCTGATGGCCCAGGCGCAAGTGAGAGGGGCCTACAGCAAAGGGATGAACATAAGTTCTACAAGCAAAAGAGAAGGGGAGATCCAAGTGAAAAGCCTGTGAGCTGCTACAACAGCCTCACCGTGCCTGAATCTGAACTGGGGACTGAATCTGAAATCCTCCTCTTGGGGCAGCCAACAAGTGAATTCCAAAGACTCAAACGGCTAGTGAAGGGGCAAGTTCTCACTCCATGCATTTTGAGACACTTTACTGCTGGAGTCAGTCTAGCTGCCTGCAATGTGGTATCTTTTGGCCTCTGGTGAAGCAGTGCTCTTCACTGGTGGCAAAGCGGCAGCTTCTCGCTAATGGTCTTGTGGCACAGTACCAGGTCAGTTCCGGTCCATACCGACGATGTACTCATATACCCCAGTGCTGAATTCACTTGACATAAGTAGACGTATGCAAGAAGGCACGATATCCTTAAGTCCTTAACTGATTGTGGTAATACTATTCTTGTCCATGCTTCGGGGTAGGGCCTTTGCTCCTTACGCCGAATATACCGCTGGTGCAAAGAATAATGCGGTGTGCTCCTCTCGGTCGCGCTGCAGCACACACAATAGTATGATACCCAGTTGGATCATAAGACAGTTTTGCGGCCCCCTATTGACTGATCAACAAAGGAACCTCCCATCCACCCCCTTTGTTACTAGTAGCTTCTTGTTCCTTCAATTACTTCTAATGAAGGACAATCTTCGATGAATGCATTTCGAGCAGATCTTCTTTCAACCATGCTACTGTAAATGACAGCTAGGCAGCATCTGTTGAAAGCACTTAGTCTCGAGCCAAGAAGAGGTGCAAAATAACTGAGCATCTGGGGAGAACTTGCCCTGCGTCAAAGGTCTTTCATCTCCGACCTGCGGAATGCGAGGCTCCCCTTGTGTGAGGCCATCTGTCTGATGGATGCAATCATCATATCTGCACTACCCAGAGTCTTGTCACTGCATGTGTGGATTTCAATCCAACACTTGTGTCGCTTCCTTGCCAAAATGTAATCTGTTCGATTCAAGAACAAGCAAGACTTGAACAACGCAAGCAATGTCAGCAGTCGCACAGGCAATGACCAAGCGAAGGCTCAATATCAAATCTATCCTTCCTATATAGATTCATCCACATTGAGTCCTGCTGATCAATAACTATGCAGTACTGCTGAATCCTGGCCTGAGACACCTCAGCAACCATGGACTTCTGGAGGAACATGCAGAATCGATCAATGCGCTCCTGCACGGGTTTCTAGACTTGGAGGCATGAAGGAAGGTAGTAAGACCACAAAGGTCGTGCAAAGATTTGCCATGTGGTAGTAGTTGGCGGGAAATCGCAAGGCTATCTTTGCTTGCAGGTGCAAACGCCAGCACTGAAGCATGACATGTTTTGATAGCACATACATATTGCATTCTATGCTTTGTGTCTCCCACAACTCTAGCATGGCCGAAAGAATTCCAAGTGAAAACCTTTCTGCCAACAACGTTTGTATGCGTGAGCTTTTTTCGCAGAAGGACTTGAGGTCTCACTTGCCAGCAATCCTCATGTTCCACAGGATCTTCGTCAAGGCGTTGCCGTCGCTCCTTCACCTCACTGTCCAAAAAAAGGGCTTGCCCAAACAAAACACCCCCCGACCCCCCAAACAAAACATATCCGATAATTAGTAGCATATCCGATAATTTTCTGTGTGGGAGTCCTCATTGCTCGAGAAAACAAGAATACGGGTCCACTGGTTGTCTTTTCAAGCACACGAGAGCTGATTTACATCAAGTGATTCATAAGTGATTGCTTGAGAAAATCATGTGCAGTAGAAAAGGTTTTGTCTGGTCTGGTTTGTTTTCTTGGGCCATCTCGTCTAAGTTCCTAACCAAGCGCTGGTTCGCCCGGGGCAAAGACCTCATAGCAAAATCCTCATGGTCTCGATAGGTGAAATTCCACATGGATTTGGAAAGAATTCCACAAAAGAATCACGCCACAATTCTCAGAATTGATATGGTGATTGAGCAGTGCACACTGACGCAACAACCATATTGAGTATACCATCATCCCTGTTGATATTCAGGTGGTGTGGTTGGGATCCCTACTTGGTACAGCATTTCTCTACTAATTGATCTCCACCAACATCAAACTCTGCAGAATCACCCCTAAAGGTTTTTGTGCCATTTGGTAGAGAGGTACTTGAAAGATTATATATACAAATTGAACTCCTCCAAGGCCACTTTGAACTACAAAATGCATTATGAATCCTCTGAATGTATGGTGCCTCTGGGAAGGGCCTACTTTTTGCATGGGCCCCAGGGTTGAGGTCAGCCATTTTGTAGAATAGGGAGGCGCGTCAGGGGTGCAAGCCTGGCTAGGTCCTGGCCAGCATGACTTCCTATATCATCCACTATGATTTAAGGAGCCCATTCACTAACAAGGAATCTCTCGTTCACTACAAATTGGTTGCACCCCATACAGTAATGTAATGTATGGGCCGCAAGCTAGAGTGTGGGCATAAGCACCCTCCACCACACAATGATCATTTTGTATTCCATTCTGTAGGCAAAGTACCATCGAGGGCCATCTGTATGAGGGCGTTTTGAGGCACAACGCAGCCATATAGGCTGCCCCGCCATTCAGCAATCTTCACACGTGCTTCTAAGAGCTCCTCCACCCCTTCGGTGTAGAACAAATCCTGTTGATGGGATGGAATGGACATTTGGATCTTCAACTTGGCATAGATGGAGTGCACAAGTCAAACAAACACTCCCACCGTCCATTTCACTGAGTTTCGAAAACCTCAGAAAGTGCAAAGTAGGGTGCTGCAACGACGATCCATGAATCAAAGCAAATCTTCTCCATATCCTGATGTAAACGATAGCTGTGTTGGTTGAGGATACACGTCGCTCCTCATCGCCTGTGGACTCCTGGCGCTTGGCATCTAGGGTCGGTGCGGTTCCTGGCTTTGCCGCAGCAATCCCGTGAGAAAAGTGATTTAACATGATTCAACTGTCAAACCCTCTTGTGTCATCTTTAGATATTTTTAATCTTGTACTGTTTCGGTTGGCCGCTCTCCCTGTGCGGGATGGAGGTCCGTTTTCATTGCTACGCACTATGCACCAAGAGGTTTTGAGTGCGGCTCATCTGCCCAACTGGATCAACCACATATCTTTCTTTGTAGGGCTGCCAGGTCAAAATCACTGCTAGTAGCATCTAGTAGTCATAGTGGCCCACCTTCAGGTTGTAGGGCTGTGTAGACTCCAGGCTGATAGGCAGTGCATGCAGTCTTTCGATTTCCAGGAAGTAGCCGACGTTCCCCTTTCACTTGGGCTCCGACTGCCGGCCATGATCGTTCGCAAACGATCACGTCGCTCATAGGGACCTTCACCGAAAATACAGGCCTCAAATGCGCTGAAAAGATCCAAAGGATCCGGAGTAAACAAAGTTCACTGAAAACTGTGTTGGTTCAATCGGTTCTCGAGTCCAGCCACTGGCTCAATTTTGGCGACTTTGAACACATTGTTTTATGAAAGAAAACCTTGCTAGACTTTGCTGGACTTCTGTGTCTGCTTGACATATGGCTCCAAGAACTGCTCACGTCATCCCTGATACAACAACTGCTTGGAACCTGCCCAGCTGCCGACTGTTCCTACTGTAGATGGCGTTCTTCAGAACGAGATTGTATTTGCACTCTATTATTGTATATAATTGTACAATATACACAGCTGAACACAGCTTTCCGGAAAAGCAATGACTTGCTTGACACACTTTTCGCTGCAACTTCACTGGCTGGGTGCACCGCTGGTTCGCCAAACTCTCGGAGCTTTGCTTTCACTTGGGCGTCTCCCGTGGGGACAGCCATCCTGAGAACGTCTCCAAGCAGTTTTTGGTACCGCATGGAGAACATTTGTAAACATATAGTAACTTGCCTAGCTACCCTTCTAGATGGCCGTCACGAAAGCGCGCTTGAAACGATATGTAGTTTCAGGTTTGATTTCATTCTGCTTAAATCAGCATTGGAAAACTTCATGTGCTAAGGTAAACTCATTGCCGGTAAATTTCAATACTTCTCCTGTGCATCTCTGCGATTCAGAACATCATAGAATGAAGCACCCTTGATCTGTCTTGGTGCAATTGAATAATTGCAGTTCAACCATAAACACCTTCGTGGATACCTGGAAGTCTAGCCCCAAACCTGATTGTATCTGAATCTGATCGTGCAACCCTGTGTGGTGGTGGCAGGTGTCCCAAACCCCCAAGCCCAGTGTGGAACAGCTGCGAACGCGCGCAAAGAAGAAATTATTGTTTTACGGTAGTGTCCTAGCAAATTGCGTAGGACATGGTTAGGGTCTGGGTTGCAACTGTACGGTCTACACAAGCCACACCAACAAGAATAGGTCCAGTCCAAAAGATCTTTCTTAACCCCTCGACGGTGTCCCTTTGGCCCAGATTGAGGCAAGTGACTCTCTTTGGGAGCGCTTCTGCTCGAAGGCCCGAACGGCCTCTTCATGCTGCTGCCTTGGGTGGAAGACTGCATCGGTCTACAGCACTGGAGACTCGTTGTTTTGGCGCTCAACATCCTCTCTACTGGTCAGCACACAACATGTACAAACAAGTAAAGGGGTGTATACTAAATGAGAGTAGGGCTTTTCATTTCTTTTATTTTTGATTTAACTACTCTTTTAAGTCTTCAACTTCCTGGTGTCGGCTTTCTGGTTTATCTTGACTTTTGGGTTTTAGTTTTATGTGTATTTTTCAACTTGTCGAATCACACACATGATATCCCACTTTCTAAACTGCAAGAAGTGCGGAGTCCCCGCAGGTCCATCACCACCATTTAGCAACGCCAAGATGCCTCGCACGGGCCATGTCATCTGCAGCGCCCGACACGATGTCCGCATCGGAAGGCACATGGATGTTGGATCCAGTGTAGGCTTCCCCTGTGCAAAACTGCAAAGTCGGGTCTAAGTTGGGGGCACAAATGATTCGACAATGACTAAAAACTCCTGTTGTCTTCAAACTGAAAAACAACTGAATGCAAACATGGTGAAACCACAGAAACCTGGAGTGATGAATCGCCGTTGGTAGCACTGTCTATGGCAATGGTGTAACAAGGGTGACCCTGATCATCCCAATGTATCTGCATTGCCACGCCAGGTGTGATTCCAATATGGACATTAGTCGCTAGTCTTCGAACGGGTCAGACAAATCTGCTGAGGCTTTCGCGATCTTCACCTGCACCACCCAAAGCCCCGGAGAGGTCTCCGTAATGTATGTGGTCTGCCTCAGCTTGGTTTGCCAAACTGTTGTTCGCTTCGTTTTTGTCCTTGGAAGAACTATGTAATGTTTTGTACAACACAGACTTTACAAAATTGAGTGTTATACATTATCCTCCCTTAACACCTTGAGGTACACACCCTACAAACATTTCAAAATTTCTGCTCAATCGGCTACGCCGTCGGTGAACTCACGACGTGATATCCGATGTTCGATATCCGGCCAAGAACCCGGCCATTGTGACAGCAATGCGCCATCCACGCTTGAACCCAGAACTTGCGACCCGGAAATTGCCAGGCTCCGACACCAGTCACTAGCTGCGTTGCACAATAGTATAACATAGTATAACAATATACCACATCACAATGATACGTAACCAGTCTGTACGAGCCCATTGAGTTTGCACTGAACATCGCATCGTGAACACAACAATTTGTCGCACGGTGCGGCGGTGCTGCGTGTCGAGTTTACAACCTGCTGATTTGGTGAAGTCCCCGTCGCATCTCTCGCGTCTTTTTTGGACCCATAGCGGCGAACATCACAGCCATCTTGTTGCACGAAAGGGCTATAGGCCTTTGCGGTCTGAACCACAACGTGCTCACGTCACCATGCCCTGATGAACGGGTCGACCTACAGTCTAGTGGCGAATGAAGCGGCGCAGTCTCGGCCGAACATTTCGGTAGAGACTCTCGCCCATGTGGTGCGGCCCAAGTCCAATCTCAAACACGAAGTCAATTTCAGCGTTTTCGTTACCAGCAACGTGCCATCAAGGACCAAGTGCGAATGCCAGGTTCCCAGATTGATGGGTGAGAGCCTGAGAGTTCGTGACAAAATGTAAAGATGGCTGAAGTCTTTGCTCAACGTGGAAACAAAAACATATGTATGAAAAATGTGTATATATATATATACAGGACACATAGGGATATGACTACATAAATTGTGATAAATTGTGCATACACCTGGGCGTGGGCGAAAAACCATGGTATGGATCCTTCCATGATCTGTACCCTGTGGAGGTTGGCAACGAGTTTCAAGAGATTTTGAAGGCTGTAGTGGATGAATCTGGTAAACCTCGGGCCCACTCTGAAGGCAGTGCCTCGGACCCAATGATTTCAGATCTATCGCTGAAGGATCAGGTCAAAGAACTTCTGCCTGTGCGCGTCGAATCAATGGCCCAGCTTCCGCAGACCAAGGCGGTGGGAGCTTTGAAGAAAGATCTTGCCGGCAAGATGTCAGTCTCCAACGAGCCGATCAAAGAGGCGGTGTGAAGCCGGCAATGAAAATGTGGACCAAGTGGAGGATGAATCTGATGAAAAAATCCTCTTCAAGGAGCCCATCCTCACCGTGGTTTCAGTTGAGACGCAGAGGAAGACTGCAAGGTAGCAGGGGTCACCTGCCAGCTTCGCGAGAATCCCGACGAGAGCGACATTTTCAGGATATTTAGGGACGAGGAATCTATCACTCCCCTCACAGGCGAAGCTCTCAGAAAGTTTAAAGAGGTGACAGAATTCCGCGAAGAGGTGGGCTTGGACAATAAAGTCATTGTTGCCAAGAAGCCAATGAGCAAGGCCGCGCCTGCAAAACGACCTATTGAGCAGAAGACAGATGAACCAGTCCCAAAGGCCTCAAAATCACCAAAGAAACTTTCTTCTTCTTCTTCTTCTGATGCTCGCCGGAGAATTTAAATCACTTTGAACTTCGCCCCTCTTGTTGCCACCTGGAACCAGTCCCACGTTGACCATGTCCAGGAATGAAGCGCGGTGCGTATAGTGATACAACACCGTGGGCGCAATCGTTGACAGCTTGCCAATCGCTCGGTGTGCTGGCAGAGGGCATTGTGGGCTCACCCACGCACTATGCAGACTATGTGAGAGGCATCCTCCAAGCCTGCCTTCAGGCCCCGGCCATCTCCAAGCTGGTGTTGCAAAAGCCTCTCAAGGCCCTCGTGTGTCTTCTGGAGGAGGCAGGCCCGAGGGTCAACGCCGACAAAACAGGCTGTATCTCGAGCACGAGCAGCAAAGAGACTGCCAAAGACCCTCAGCTCTACGATGTTCTTCGTGATTTTGGAGTGGATGCCACTGGAGCCCCCAAGTTTCTGCGCAGATCAAGAAGAGGTTCCTCAAAGGCAGAGGGAGAGCTGGCGTCGTTTACAGACTCAAGCTCCAGCGCAACATCCGCTACCGGCCCCGCGAGTACCATCCACCCGGCGATGACGTGGGGAGCTCAAGCCAACGGCCTAGCGCCACAAATAAACAGCAGATCAGAGTCATGGCTGCCACGGTTGGCAACTCCAGCGCTGTTTTGAGGCCATAGGACAAAGTGCTGGACCTGGTGGCGGCCCCGGCTCTGGTTTTGGAGAAAACCTGATGAAAGCAAACGAGAAAGGCATAGCGCTTGTGCCTGGGGTCTTTGCATGTGGCGGCCACGGCCAGAGAGGTGGCATGACCTGGCGGCACCTCAAAGGCTTCCTGTGAGGTGGCATGACCTGTGTGCGTCTCTACCGCGGCAGCCATATCCGCTTAATGTCCGAGTTCCGTTTAATCCAAAACTTGACCAAGCATGTATCACGGATTTTGGACCTCCTGATATCCCTTTTGCAGACAGGCATAACCTGTATCAAAGAGTCCGCAAATGTCTTCGTAGCAAGAAGAGCTTGTCTACCCTTTCGCTCGCTACATGAGTTAGGAATTTGCATCGTTTTGTGTTAATTCACACCGACATAGTGTGTGCTGGCGTGCACGTTTTTGGATACATAGAGTCTTCTGTATATGCTTACCTCATGTACCCCCTGTAAGGGAAGGGCAATGAGGCGCGACACGGACATGTGCGCAAGGTGTGTGTGAGGACCAGATGCTTTTTTTGCACGGTTGCAGAGCTCAGGTTCAATGCTTGCTGCAAGGCGCTGCTTCCACTGAGCTGGTAGATCTGTGACCCGTCCTTGCCGGAACTTGCACTGCCATGGCGCACGAAACTCCTCGCCGCACAGTGGGCATTTGCCCTCTTGCCGGTGAAGGGTGCCCTGACGCAGCGCTCTGAGAGCTGGGCCACCTGCGGTCATAGGTGGCCTGTTGGAACGGCCTTTCAAGGTCATGACATCCTTCATATCTGGTGTCCAGAAAAGGTGCTGGGTACTTTCATGAAAGGCATGAAAGATCTTCCAGACCGAGTGGAGACGCTGCATGATGATGGGGTCACCTGGGTCAGGGTCTCCGGGCTCATGTCATAGACGACATCCGGGAGAAGGTGCGTGTCGCTCTCATCTTCATCAAGGACTGGACTTTGACAACTTTGCCCAGGTGCGGCCTCTCCTGTTTGGCAAAAAGGAGATCGACACCAATGTCAACACAAAAGCCTTCCAAAAGGATACGGAGAACCTGGCCAAGCAATTTGCCAAAAAGTCCAGGAATGAAGATCCTTCCTGGACACATAGATGAGGATGCCTGGGACATTTTGCGCGTTGCTGCTGACCGCATGGATATCCTTCTCAAGGACCGCGCTCACTTGCATCACAAGTCTGATGAAGCTGCGCAGCACAAGGTTCCTTTGATCCAGCGCAAACAGGAGATTCTCGGCAAATTGCTCCCCGGTCCTGAGCATGGCAGGCCTTTCGAAGTGGGGTCCAATGCCCTCGCCGCAAGATGCGCCGGACCGAGCTCAGGGAGGCGCTTGACAAGCCTTGTGAGCAAGGCCAACCCTGCCGGCCAAGAAGACCCGCTTCGAGATCATCCACGATCTCATGCAAGCACAGGATGGTGTGCAAGCAGGCGTGCATCATTTGCGCCTCGACAAGGCGTACTTGCGGTGCACGGACTGCAAGAGCTATATCAGCTATATCCTTGCAAGATGCAATGAAGTGGCACTCAACAGCTTTGTTGGTGAAGCTTGCCACGTGGGGTCACTTGCACCTGAGCTATGGTTTGGACATGTGACCCATGCCAAGTGCAGAGCCGGCAACTGGGTAGAGTGCACCAAGCGTCATGCCAAAGCCCGGATTAGCGAGGAGCATGTGGAACTCAACGACCGTCTTAAACGACGATGCAGTTCAGCCAGGTGAAAAGACCTCAGGCAATGGTTCAGCTGAGCACCTGGTTGCACGGAGAAAGGACCAGCAAAAAGGACAAGTATGGAAAAGTTCACTGTGCACTTCTACACTTTTGCGAAGTGACCAGCAAAGTGTAGACGCGAAAGTTCAAGATGTCAACGTCTCGAGTCCATGCGCAAGAGGCGGGTCTTCAAAAAGCAAGCCTACAACTACCAGATGTAGAAGTAGCAATGTAGAAGTAGCGGTAGCAGGTCTTGAGCTGGTGCGTCTGTCAAACCAACAACACCCTTCTCAGTGCTTCTGGAAAACACAAAAACAATTATCAATTGGAGGTCCTTGAACTTCAACTAGGTAGATCGTTGGGGGTACCATAATGTGTACGTGACATAAGTACACATGGTGTATGCGCAATATGCCTATTTGCTGATGAAAGATGCGCTAGTATTGGGCAATGACAACTGTGGGCTCGCCACTCGATCAAGCTTTTCCATCTCCCAATATGATCAAAAAACTGTTGGACGGGCCAATCGACAAACACATGGCAAAAATCCGTCTGGTTGCTGGGCAAGGAACCATTCATAATCTCATACCTTGGTTTTGCTTGATTTGCTTTCAACATTATCACTGAATATCAACCTCTTCAAAGAAGATCCCATTCGCGCACCAAGATACCACGTGGAATGCGAGCTTTTCAGGTAGGATGGTATCCAGCCGGCATGTCCAGGCAAATTGGCATTGTGTATAGCAAGAAACTTGGGGCGGCATGCAGTCTCCAAGACCTTAAGTGGGGTCAGATTGGACACAGGAATCCTCAGGCAAGAACATGGATGCATGTGGAAGTGTTGGAATCGGGGTTTCTTCAGTGTGACCGCCGGACCAAGATACTCATCTTTGATCATCTTTGCATTGGAGAGTCGAAACGAGTCGAGCTTACTATACTGTTCTCAATGAAGCTCCGCCGAGAAGGGTAGGTCTAAAAGCACAAACAAACCTAAGAAAACAACGAAAACAAACACTCTTCCAATCAAATCGAAGGGGGCAGGCCAAATGTTGCGGAGGTCGGTTGGTGGGTCCAACATGATCAAGTCCATTCCTTGGCCAGACTGCAATGTCAGGATATAGGACCTGGGATGAATCTTACTCGTTGCGAGCTTGATGTGATAGAAGACAGAACGTGTCACGAGTGCGAAAAGGAATTACAATGCAACAGTTTGCAATCGACTCAATCGGCAGAATGATCTGCAGCAACTACAGCTTCTGAATTAACAGGGGTTGTTGTGCCTAGCTCAACTCGCAAAGGCTGAAGGATGACTCTGTCCAGGCGCCATCGGTAGTGGAACACAAAGCTTCAATCAGGCTCGGATGCTCCTCAGGTTTTTGGCACTAGCATGCACAAGGCAGAATGATGCAGAATGCAGGATTTTCCTCAACTTTAAGCTGAGGCTCAAAAACATCTCCTTGTAGTATCCAGCTCCCGGGAGTGCCAAAACCTAATTTTGAGGCGATGAAAATGGTGTTGGATCCAGCCTGATGGGAAAACTGGCAAAAAAAGGAAGGGAGGTTTTATCAAAAGGCGTTGACAAGGACTTCAGGCCGCAGCCGCCGTTTTAATTTCAGTGAAAAAATTGTTCCAAAAACAAAGCACCAGGTCTTGCGAGTACTTTCCAAACGCAGTCAACGCACAGGACAGGCTTGTTTTCATCTAGGTCTTTGACTAGGTCTTTCTGATGCTGTATATGCAGCAGTTCTCTGTGCCTTGAAATTTCATCCTAACATTGGCACAGTATATAAGTCAGGCACCAAACATTTGGAAACCGCAGCATCTGAAACATATTGTATGAGTAGGGCTGACAAGTTCAACAATTCTGAGCACACACTGGTGCAATCAATGCTTACTCTGTTTAAACCACAAACAAACATAAATAAACACACTCTACGCTCATGGGTATCTGGATCAGTACAGGGATCCTTGGGAGGACAAGATCAGATTAATGGACTCGAGGCAAACACAACACATGACATACCCCAAATGGCCGAATTGCCCCAGCCAACCAACTTGCACACGAAATTTCCAGTTGTAGCTCACTTTTGCCAGGAAACTCTGTGCGGCACTGTCGGGAATGCCTCACTCCGCGTTTCACACCGATGCCATTGAATGCTCACATTTTAAGCAAATGCAAACCAAGTTTGGCGTCGACGGGTTCTCACAAACAAATGGGCGCACCAACTCACGACACACATACACACACACACACAGCGCATCGCGGTGCAAGAATTCAAAATCGTCGAGGCATTGAGCGAAGGAGCGGCCGACCTATCAAAATGAAATATCTTACATGTTGACGCAAACAAAACACCTGAGAAGGGGGACGAAAGCCAGCGCACTTGGCAACCAGCATCACATGTACAGAATTTACTGTGGACTCTCCTGCCAATAAATCATTGGTTGAACTGCTCGCTTGTTTGGACCTGTCGGTGTGGGCCCTTTCCAAGAACCCATGGCTCTATCAGGTCGAGGGGGCACTTGCTCGCTTGTTGAGCCATTCGATGTGGCCTCTTCCGAAAACTCTTGGCTCTGTCAGGTCAAGGCGAAACGCTTGGGTTTTAAGTTTTGTTAGAACATATCCAGAAATCAAACATCAACAAATCCACTGGTTCAGTTGCGTGCTTGTGGAACCACTCGACGGGGCCTCTGCCAAGAACCCATGGCTTTAACTGTCAGATGAAAGCGAAATGCAAGCAGAATGACAACAAATGAAAGCAGCATGAAAGCAGATGAAAGCAATTCCTTTCTCAAAACTGGTCTTGTTGACGATCTTGGAAGTAGCCCCATACAACCTGGTGATGCACATGATGCAGCAGCAACTCGCCTTGCATCTTCTGCGTCACCACCTACCCAAAACTAGCCTCCGCGAATAAAACATGAACCCCATCAGGCCACGATGAAAACCGCCAATTTGGCCCAATCTCCCCGCGACACCCCTATTTCGTTTGCAAGAACAACTTCAGCCTAGCCTGTTGGCTGGCTTTCGTAAAAGCATGATTTTGGAGGGCCAGATCTGAGCCGCTTACCAACGTATCTGATTTTTAACTTCCCCGCGCCTCTACCGCGCGCACAGCAGGTAGTTGTCTAGGCATCCAAAGGCAGCATTACCCCAGAGATGCATTGAACAGTAGACAATCTCTTGCAAATGTCTTGGCTCTATCTATTTGGGGTCCTCACATGTACTTTTGCTTCGTGCGTATGCTCCCCAATGTTCCATACCGGGCAATTGCTAGGGATAACAAAATAACCATATCTGGCTCACTTGTGTACAGAGGAACTTGACATGTGGCAGCGTGCTCCAACATGCAACAAGCTCCACCTTTTAAGTGCTCGAGAATGAAAACAAATGAAAGTGAAAGTGCTTGATGATCCACTCAACCAGTCGGCAGGGTCGCTTGGCCGACGGGGTCTCTGCCAAAAACCCATGGCTCTATCTATATCTATTAAATGAAAAAACTACGATAACATATGAAAGTAAAAATGACAGAATGAAGGCAGCATGAAAGCAAAAGAAAGCAGAGTGAAAGTGAAAGCAGAGCCGCCTTCCTTTCTCGATGTTGACCTTTTTGACGATTTTGGAAATAGTCCCATACAAATTGCTGATGCAAATGATGCAGCCATAACTTTGCCTTGCATCTTCTGCATCACCAGTTGCCAAAAATTAGCATCTGCAAAGGAGATAACCCCACCAGGCTATGATGAAAAATACAACTTTGACCTGCTCTCCCCCGCCACACCCTCATTGCTCACTTCGTTCGCAGGAACAACTTCAGCGTGGCCTATCGGCTGACTTCCGTTTTATAACTCCCACACAAAGACATGCAGGCATTCTGATTCTGCAGGTTCGTTTTTTCACTCTGATACCGTTAATCCAACACTAATATCAATATCTTTGAACACCCACCCATCAAGTCCCATGAGATTCTTTTTGAGCATTTGAGGGGGTAAAGTTATTTAACTTTTGGGTTCACAAGACGGTGTCTTAGCCAAAAATAGCCCTGGACGGAAACCATCTTGGAGTCAGCCCTTCTGCCTCTCTTTGACCAAGGAACCCTTGGCGTGCTCTAGGGGAACAACTGTGGCAACTGCCTTGGCCGTCTTCAGCACTTGTGTCGCATGCCATGCGTTGCCCTGGTCCCGGTCAACTGTAAAGAAGCGTCCTGGTGCTGGCCGCCGCGCCAAGGCGTGGGCCAAAACCAAAGAGCTGCCACCTGCGTCTCCGATGTGGCCGGAAGAATGGAAGGTCTGACATCTAGATCAAAATTGCTTGCTCGACCATGTGATTGACCCATCACCCATCGCTGTCGAAGGAACCACCTTGGAACAAGCTTCATGAAATACTCACTTTAAACATATTTACACAAGCCTTCAAGGAGCAATGTATTTCACTACAGATTGTCCCCAATGTTCCAATTGCTCTCTGTCTGTCTCCAATCAACCCCACGAATTCTTGCCTCATATCACCTTCACTGTCATTGCGCCCTGAGGTTCTGCATAGTAGATACTTGCTCAGTAGCCCATGCTTCCACAAGCCCAACAACTAAGCCCTGCAACCCGTAGAAACGGATATTTCACAACAACCTGGAGCCCGCAATTGGTGGGCATTTTGCAAAAACAATCAACAGCCAAGCACTTGGAGCAGTTCAAAAGCTGGAAAGCCTCCAAATCAAACAAATAGAATCAGCATTGCCTCCAATACCAGTGAAGAGTTCGAAGGCCTTGTTTGCATGGCGAGCCAGGCACCACAATGCCCGGGCAAACCTGAGAGCTTTCAGCACATGTTCCTGGCATTGGAACTGATTTAAGCACCAAAGGCAACGAGCCAAGTTCAAGTTCTACAGTATGACTCTGACTTCTATGGCCTACCACTTCACCTTCGATTTTGGTATTCTGACACGAAGTTAAAATCAATGTCCTTTGGCTGAAATATACAAAGACATGATCGTGCGCCGAGAAGCTGGGTCGACCGACCGATGCAACCCAGCTCTCCAGGCTCCGTCCCTGCACGGAAGCTAGTGTTGTGCTATCAACTAGCCAGGCGCGGGTTATCGCCGTTTCTCAGGCTACGGGGTTGCCTCGAGGCACTTCCGCGGTAAGAACATCCTTGTGACTTCGAGCCTAGCCTGGGGTCGCAATTTTATAAGGAACCCACTTCGGGGGCCTTGAAACACAATGGACAGCTTATAGAATGTGGGCACCCACCCTCGAGCTTAAAGTAGAGATTTCCAATTATCTTTAAATCTATGCAATTAGGAATGACAGCGTAAGTCGTAGAATGGAGCCAAAGTAGGCCATACCCAGGACCCTGATTTTATAGAGAAAAGCGGGAACATACCAATTTACAACAAGTTTTGGCAAGTAACACTCTTGCATTCTTTGCCGATAACTTTCCGTTTGTACATCCGATGTTTCTGACATGCCACAAGAATTTCACGAGAACAAAAACAAAGTGCAGCACGGACATCAAATTCCAGAAACGACATCGCGCACTCTGAAGAGGCGACGTCTTTCTCTCCCCGAAACTCTGAAAGGTCCCTGAAACTGCCATCTATGCCTTATGTTTACTATTATGTTTGTTATTACTATTTATTGTTTAAACATCTTTTCACGTCTTTTTTATACAATGCAAATCCCACATGTTTGACTTATTCTTACTTCATCTTAAATGCTTATATAATCAGGATTTGAGGTTCAGAATGACTTCTCTTTAAAATTGGATTAGTTTTTCTCTCTAAAATTGCCCCCCCCACCCTACTCGTATTTTATCGACTTTACTCCTCCACAGTCTCCATGAAATCAGGACTGACATCAAACATTCTTGAAAAACAGAAAAAGCTCAAACTTGAATAAACTTGATGTTTACTGCGGGAATTGACATCATAAGAAAACGGACCAAACAAAAAACAATCTCCCAGGCCCCAGGCTCTCCAATTTTACAAGGGATATTCCCATGGGGATGTAAAAACGGTAAGCATATGCCAAAAAAAATTGTTGCAGCTTTTGCGGGTAAAACATATATAGACATTCAATCTTTGTGATTGAAATCCACGGTCAAAACGGGAGACATCGAAAGAACTATAGAATCACCGGTTTAGTTCCACAGCTTGAAATGTTTACCGCGTGCGTTGTAAAAAGGGTATTGTCCCAGAATCACCCTGAATATAAGTATGGCCCATATGGCTTTTTGTGCTTTTCGTAGTTTCCGAAAGGCGCGGTTCAGAAGCAAATCTGTTTGACCGACATCCCGGGCACAAAACAAGAATGCAATATTTTATGTTGCAATGCAGTCCCTTGATTTGTGTCCTTTTACAATTTGTTCAATCAACATATGATTTATCTCGGCGTAAAAACGGGCAAACAGCGAAAAACATGAAAACAACAATAAAAAACACACGTAGTTTTCCCTGGACCTGTTGGCCAAATTATTTTGTATACCGAAGGAGTGGGACCATTTGCAAAAATTGGAAAACACTCATGAAAATTGCTCAAAACCAATCGAGAAATTGTTCTAATGGGCTCTTCTTTTGCAAGTTTCTTTCGCAACACTTTCGCGGCTTGCGTTTTGGCTTTATTGCCGGATTCTCTGTGGGAGCACGAGCGGATACCCCTTTGCAAAACAACGCGTGCGAACCGGCTTAGTCTTTGATAAATCTATTGGGATCGTCGAAGCTGGTGTGAAGGACCAAGAAAAGAGACGTTACGTAATCAAACTGCGTTATGAAGGAGAGGGTCAGCCTAATCTAATCAAAGGAAATTATATATATATATATATCTGAAGAACAGCACACCTGGGCTTTGAGGGCTTAGAAAACTTGAAAAACTACAACGTGTCCTTCTCTTATCTTTGTTTTCTCTGCGTCGAAAGTGTCGCCCGTTTATCACAGGGTCGCCTCCGAAGAGTGAGACAGCAGGCGGAGGCATGTCAGGACCTTCGGCACCGCAGCCTGGAGACTCAATAACCTCGGCTGTTTGACTGGTGAAACTCAAAACCTCCAATGCGACACATTGAAACTCCAGGACCACACAAGTCAAGCTGAGAATCTTGGTTTTGCCCTTGGCATTGTCGAGCTAATCTTCTCCTGATTTCACAAATATGTTGGAAATTTATCTAGCATTCAACCAGAACTCAACAATATCGCCGGTTTGCGAAGCTCTACAAAATTCTTGCCCGGGAAACCTGCAATTTCTCACCCTTCCATTCATATCATTATTTGTCTTTTTGCATCTTTTTGAATTCAACATTTTCTTTCCTTCTTTCACTCTTTATATACCGTCTCTGCAATCTGTACTTGTCGCTCTTTCAGACTGTCTATTTCCTGCGGCCTTGCTAATGGCACCCCCGAATACCCCGAATGACGTAGCCAAGCCCTGCCGCTGTAAACCCATCGCGTGTTGCAGTGCTTGTGCTACCATGACCATGACACCACTCGACACCTGCGAAAAGCAAACCACGCAGCACTCGCAAGCTGTCGATGAGCTGGCAAACTCACTATGAATGATGCCTGCCTTCTCTCTTCGGCCAAAATATGCCCCCCAAAAAGCAATGATGTTAAAGAGCAACGTGAAGGATTTGTGGGACTTGTGCAGAGATCAGACACAAACAACAATAAACAACTTGCATCCAGGTCTCTCACAAACTCTGAGAGCATGTCTGGTGCTGTGGGTATTGTTGATTTCTGGGTTGCATCGGTAGCCGGTGCACCACAAAGGCCAGAAACCCACGAGCAAAAGAGCTTGGAAGGTCAAACGAGTCGAACCATCGGCCATGGATTATGGACCCGTTTCAGACTTTTTTGCTTGCGGCAAATGGATCTTCAATCAATGAAACAACACCAAAATAAAGGTGATGCAATTATCCTGATTCCAATCGTGTGACTTCTACTTGAAGAAAGAATGATTTCCTATGATCTTCTTTTCGTTCAGCTTCATTTTAGAACGAGTCTATGGCCTATAGAGCAAGACTCGATACGTTATGTTTTTGCTAGATGAAGTTCGCCCCAGCATCATCATGAATATAGACAAACCCAAATGCCTGCATCTGATTTGCACGAACCGCACAGTGTTTTGGCATCAGCATTCCGGGAAATCCCGAACCTATAGTAGAGACAGGCCAAACAAATTGGTCAATTCAATTAAGGCATTTTCATTCTCCGCAGGGATCTTGCTTCTTCAAGTCGGTTGGTGAAGCGCTCCACACATCCACCTTAAGAAAATGTTCGAGCGCAATGCATGTTGAGCATATAATTGCCAAGTAAGCCAAACAAATAGGCATTGTTCTAGGCAGCCTCTTTGAGAGGGTTTGGGCGTGCAGCCTCAAAAAGACTGTGCACTGCCTGCATCTGTTTTGAAGCGCGCGCCACAATGTGGTCTCCAACTACAGGCAACAAAAGCACAATGTGGCACGCATAGCTTACAAAAGGTCAAAGCAAAAAAAGGATCGAATATTCTCCGATTCTCCGAGCCAAGCTTATAACCTAATTGGTCATAAATTGCAACAGCCGCCTGCTTTCTGAGGCAGTTTTTGATATGGCGAGTTGATATCAGCTGCTTGAGCATAGAATCGTCATGATGCATTATCGATCATCGTTCAAGTGAAGGACTATTACCCAAGGGTCACAGCAGCCTCTCTCTGCCTCCGACTTTACCACAACTGCTGGAATGAACCAAAGTGCCAAGCGGCAAAAGCACAGCTATTGGGTGAAACACACTTGGAGTATCCGCAACCCTGTCATTACATTATGGCCGACACAGCGGCCTACCTGGACCGGCGTGCAGCAGCTTCAGTTGAGCTGCAAGGATGCACCAACCGCCACCGGCTCAGGTGGGCTGGCGGTTGTGAGTCAAGAAGCCGTCCAATGAACGATTGGAGAAATCACATCACCGGGTATATAGACATATATAATTACATAGTATCATATAGTTAAGAACATACTAGCGCTGGGGTTTTGTCACCCGGGTTTGCAGAAAGTCACCCGGCCGCATGGAAACGCAGCATTAGTCAAAAGTCACCCGGCTCGCGAAAAGTCACCCGTTTTATGTTAAAATACAATGTAAACGCTCTACGGAAGTATGTTTGTCAAAACTGCTATACATCAAGAATTCACTGCCCCTGTGCAGGAAAGAACTAGTTTTATGTCGAAGTTTGCAGCGTTTTGGTGACCGAACCCCAATCAGAACGCAAGGTTAGAACCCCAATCAACGAGTGCCACGCGAGTCTTTTCGACCCTGTCGCGAGTGCTGCGCGAGTCCCATGCACCCATGTACTCACGCCCCATGTACCCAAACAATGGCGTTGAACTGACGCTCCAAAGCTTATCTTCCAATGAGGGTGACATCTTGCATCTAACCCCAATGGAAACGCAGCATCCAAACAATGTTGTTGACCTAATGCTCTTCCAGTTATATTGCCATCTTGCATCTAACCCCAATGGAAACGCAACACCCAGACGACTTTCTACAAGACCAGACGACTTAACACAAGTGCTAGTACTACATACATACATATATATATATATATGATTGTATATGGGTCTAGAGTCTATATGGGATCATTAGTGATGGCATTGCCATACAGTAGTCTTGACGTGCAAGCTTGGCTTGGTTTACGGATAGGGAGGCTAAACATGTCTCATTGGAATGATGAACGGATCAAAAGCACGGTGGCCACAATTCGGCCAAGGTCTGCTTTTAAGCAACTGTTATGCTGCCAAGCTGGATTCTGTCAGAGTGGGCCCCCATCAATTCCAATGCAACAGGTGCTTGCCTGTTCCAACCACAACTTTACTTTGGACAAAGCGACAAAGCAAAGTACTGCTCTCTTGACTCACAGCCCGTGCGAAGCCCTCTGTTAAGCTTTCAGGCCGCAAAGGCCCGACGTCCGCTAATGCAATCACATGCCATCCGGGTGGAAACAAAGGGCATAGTATTGCAGTAATGGCAATGGTATTTAGAGAATTTCAAGGACAAAAAAAAAAGGAGAAAACAACTTTAAAACGCCCTACTTATCAAAGGAACCCGTCCCTTCTCTTTAAGTTTCTTTAAAACATCTCCTTCAACATCAAATGAGAACCTTTCTCTTGTGTTCCAAAAGGTCAAGTGGGGTTGCGTCAAAAGGAACATCTCCGCACCCGTATACTCCTAGACCAGTAGAGGTCACCCAACCTAAAAAGGAGGAAACACATGTTGTGCCGACTTGCGCGGATCACTATGCAGTAGCATGCATGTCCAGAAAGTGGAGCAGTCTCCGTGTAATGCACTCGTGTCTTCGAAGGAAAACTTAGCTGACGTAATCTCACTGTTCTCTTTCCCCGACCATCAGAAAGCATGTGGGGCTAGCGACGACTTGCCATAACTTTCCAGCTAGCAACTCACGTGTCTTCTCCAAAATGTGGTCATTGTCTGCGTCCATGATGTGACGAGACCTTCGTCCTCTCGCTTCTCTCGGACGTATTTCCTGGGAAAAAATCGGATGGTCAAACTAGGTCGGCAGGCGTTCTCTCGCTGGTTGTGTGGCGAAGTTCAAGTTCCACAGCGTCACGGCAACATTTGACACACACTTATTGACATGCGTACTGACTCGAATGCCGCTCACCACACGGCAACCTAAGGAACCAAAATCCTGAAAGGTCAAGAGAGGGGGCCTGGGCACCTTTAGTTGAAGGCAAAAACTCAAGCTCAACGAGGAGACGATCAGGCCGAGATGACGTCGCACGCTCTTGTCTGCCCCGTGCGCTAGCCCTTTAAGAAAGAGCAGAGTCACGGCTTGTGAACACCACAAAAAGGAAAGCAGGTACGTAGTTTTGGCGTCCCAGAACTATATCACAGGGCAACAGATGCGTCTTCGTTGGCTGGAGACATCTGAAGCACACTCCAGCCCCCTGCTGAAAAGAAAAGCAGAAACAAAGAAATCCATCAGGATCCCTGTGACTCCAAGGGTTACACTTTGATAAGGGCTCGCAAGAGCAAAATCAGTTGTGATCCTCCAACATTACCGGCTTAGAGCGCTGCCTGAGACATGGGAAACAGCCCTGAGAGGGAATGGCAAGGTGAATAAGTCCGAACAAATATTGTTTAAATCATTTGGTCGGGAATCTGCAGGTACATGAGAGTGATCAGCTCTAACTTCCCTCGATGCACCATAGCTTCGTTGCGTCAGGTAGAGGTATCGAGCCTGACGCCCCTGCACTCTACAATTAAACTCCTTAGAGACAGGTGTTGACACACAAAAAGCCGGATCGGCGCACTTTCTTTTTTGGCTCCGCGGGAGGGGTAGGGGGGAGGGAGGGGAACAAAGTGCGTTGACCAAACGAACCGGAAAGTCAACCTAACAAGCCTGAAGGAAAGAAACAAACAAACGAAAGAGGAAAGAAAAGAAAGGAAAGAAAAAAGGAAAGGGCGCAGAGGGTGCGGGGGTGTGTGGGCAGGGGGGGAAAGGGTTGCAGGCCCGAAGGCTTTGGATAAGAAGCCGTAACCGGCGCGCACTTGACTAACAGGCCTCGTTACACCTAAAAAGCCTCTAGAAAACGAAGAGCAGCAGGAAAGAAAGAACCAAACACTGATTACTTAGGGAATCATATGATTACTTAGCAGCATGGGTTGATATGACATTCTCTGGGAGTGTGAGTGTTCTCAGAAGACCTGCGGCGTATGATCAGCACTCTCGAGCAACAACGCAAAATCGACGAAATTCCAGTGCAGGTGGAAGGGTTTGTGCCACAATCACACCACAGCCCACAGTGGGACTCTGTGGCGACACGCACTTTGATAAGGGCTCGCAAGAGCAAAATCAGTTGTGATCCTGCACTCTAGTGATTACACTACCGGCTTAGAGCGCTGCCTCAGACCTGGGAAACGGCCCTGAGAGGGAACGGCAAGGTGAATAAGTCCGAACAATTGTTGTTTAAATCATTTGGTCGGGAATCTGCAGGTACATGACAAAGAGTGATCAGCTCTCACGTCCCTCGGGTACACCATAGCTTCGTTGCTATAGAGGTATCGAGCCTGACGCCCCTGCACTCTACAATTAAACTCCTTAGAGACAGGTGTTGACGCGCGCGCGCGCACTTATGGAAATGCGTACTGACTTGACAGCGGTGCCACACGCCGGCCTAAGTGAAAAACCTAAGGACCTAAGGAACCAGGACAGGGGTCAGTAAGTTGAGGCCCTTGCTGCAAGGTTGGAGGCCAGCAAGACTCAAAACACGAAACGCGAGTAGCGATTAGTAACAGAACCACATGAACCACCATGAAAGCAAACCACAGCGAGAACAACTGTTAACCAGTTTGGCAGGTACGTTTACAAGGGCCCCAGAGGAGGTCTTCATTGGCCACCGCTCCTCTGCGACCCCGGTGGCCCCCTGCTGAAAGAAAAAACCAACAGCTGCAATGGCACAATCCAAAAGGACCCCTATGATTCCCAGGGTCACACACACACACACACGCCTCCCCGAGAAAAGGCGAAAAGTGCTAAGGCCAGGGCGGATGTATGTGTGCTCACAGCAGAGACGAAAGAATGAAGACATGACAAGGGGACGGGACGGGGCAAAAGTGTATGTGGTTGTGATGAAAGGGAACCAAGTGCACAGGGACAAACGATGAAAAGCCACCTCATTGTAAAGACCTGGGCGACCTGAAACCTGGGTGCGCGCGTGCACACTAAGGCCGGGACCAATGTGCGCGCAAACGAAAGAAAGGATGAGATGACAAGACATGAAGACAGGAGGACATGAAAGAAAAGATGAAAACACATGTGTGTGAAGGAGAAAAGGATGAAAGGGGGAACCAAATGGAGGGGACGAGAACCGATGAAGCCAAGCCTCATTAGAAACTCCTGGGCAGACCTCGTTTACATGTAGACGCTGTGAGTGCACCCAAGAGTGGGACAGGCTCCAACGAGCCTTGAACAAGCTTCGGTCGCTGCGACCACGTGGTGGCTTGCCCGAAGGCTGCCTACTGCTGACCGCTTTGGTCACCTCATGGCGTGTTCGAAGACTGCCTACTTGGAATTCAATAATCCATCAAGTCTTGACAAGTGACTTTGGCGCAAGCCACCTACGCTCGCTGCTCTGTATCCGGGCAGGGGATGCGGTCGACAAATCCCCGTTCAACGGGTCCACAGGGGCCACTCGTCGGGGTCACCCTGGGCTCTCACTGAGGAGAGACACACTTATTGACTCATTGACACGCGTACTGACTCGAATGCCGCTCACCACACGGCAACCTAAGGACGATCAGGTCGATATGACGTCGTGCGCTCTTGTCTGCCGCGTGCACTAGCCCTTTAAGGAAGAGTAGAGTCACAGCTTGTGAACACCACAAAAGGAACGAGGGTACGTAGTTCTGGCGTCCCAGAACTATATCACAGTGCAACAGATGCGTCTTCGTTGGCTGGAGACATCTGAAGCACACTCCAGCCCCCTGCCAAAAACAAACAAATCCATCAGGATCCCTGTGACTCCAAGGGTTACACACACACACATTGTGACAATGCTAAAGTTGAACACTGTATTTGGTCTGCTATCCCTGGGCGAAGAAACCGTCCAGGTACTTTGTCAGCCCTACACTTCACGATGCCTGCTGTC